TCCGCCTGCCTCTGCTGCCCGAGTGCTGGGATCAAAGGCGTGCGCCACCATCACCAGGCTTAGCTCTAGCTTCTTTTTTTTTTTTAATAAACACATTGTTTCTTTTTTTATAATTATTTATTTATTATGTATACAATATTCTGTCTGTGTGTATTCCTGCAGGCCAGAAGAGGGCACCAGACCCCTCTACAGATGGTCGTGAGCCACCATGTGGTTGCTGGGAATTGAACTCAGGATCTTTGGAAGAGCAGGCAATGCTCTTAACCTCTGAGCCATCTCTCCAGCCCTAGCTCTAGCTTCTTATTGGCTAATTCTTACATCTTAATTTAACCCATTTCTAGTAATCCTTGTATTGCCACATGGCTGTGGCTTACCAATAAAGTCCTAGTGTCTGTCTCCGGCAGGACTACTGGCTTCTCTCTGACTCTGCCTCCTTTCTCCCAGCATTCAGCTTAGTTTTCACCACCTACCTCTTTTCTGCTCTGTGCAGACCCAAGACAGTTTCTTTATTAACCAATGGTATTCACAGCATACAGAGAGGAATCCCACATCACATACAGATTTAGTTCTGTGCCCAAGATACCAGAACTGGGAGCTAGAAGGGCCAGGGTTTGGGGGCAGGCCATTTTCATTCCCAGTGTGTTATATTCTTTAGGAAGCAACTTTTGACAAATCTTAATTCCCAGGGCCTGTTAGAACACGATTCTGCACCATCATTACTCATGTACTTTAATCTTTAAAACTGCACATTGATTCCCAATACCCCATTCCTCAAAACGCTCTTTTTGACCTCTAGATATTGGCCACACATCCTCCACTTTTTGTTGCTAAGACAGGGGCTTACTAAGAAGCTAAATAGGTTGGCCTCAAATTTGCTGCAAAGCTCAGTTTGGCTCAAACTAAATGATTCTCCCTCCTTTGGCTGATTCCTGCTGTAACCAGAATCTCAAGTCAGCTATTTGCCTCTTTTTACCAAGAAACAAAGAAAACCAAGAAATGGCAACGGTTTAAAGGAAATATGGTTTTGTTTCTGTTGTTGGTGCTTTTCTCTTTTTAGTTTGGAACAAAAGTGATAGAGAAAAGTCCTCAGTGTCTCCCCACCTGGGAGGCAGCTACATATAAGTTATGGAAACCATGAAACACAACTCAAGGAATTCGTATGTGTAGCTGTAGCTATACATTGTTGAAATCTTTGCTTGGGGAATCTCAGTGTTTAGGAATTTGGGCTACTCTAGCTCCCAGCATTGGATCTCCTGAAACATTTTTATTCTCTTTGGTCCCTGTACCTGAAACATTTATTCCCTATGGTCCTTGTACATGCCCTATCAG